ATCAGCCAGGATGGGACTGAGGGGGCTTCCCATGGCTAATCCCTCAGTTTGCTTGTAATATTTATTTTGGAAAACAAAATGTGTTTTTTTTCAAACAGAGTTGAGTGAGAGAAATTAGTCATCAATTTCGATGCAAGAGAAATGAAATTCGCGAAAGTCTGGTTCTAGACATCTTAATGCACCCTCCACCGGGATTGGTGAATAATGATTTTGCATCAAAAGAAACCATGAGTAAATTACTAGGAGAATTTGTTAACCTTTTTTACAAACTCTATTGAATTTTTATGGTGTAAATGTTATTGTCTAAGAGAGTGAAAATCTAGAATCCAAATATTTAGCTAATTGATACAAGGAAGTACCTAATTTGATACAATACGGCAGAAAGGAATACCGCTTTTATGATTTTGGGAAGAGCATATAATCTGGCACAATTCGCAACAGATGGATAAGCGAATGTTTTAAGTTGCTTGAAATGATTTGCGAAGATTTGATCGCAGTTTTTTATTTTTGACAAATCGGAAGGTGAAGAATCTTTAGGGATCGGATTATATGGTCCTTCGTTTAAGAGTTTAGTGACGCCATCGATGTAAGTGTTCTTATCCATGACGACTATCTGACCACCTTTGTCGGCCTTTGAAATGATAATATCCGGGTTAGAATGAATTTCGCGCATTTTAGCTCTTTCTCTCGCAGTTAGATTTGGTTTCAAAGGTTTATTATTGAATTTCACATTATGAGCGATAAGATGCCTAATCATTTCTTTCTGTGAATCTGAAACTTTACTGAACTTGAAAGCTTTTTCGATAGGAGCCAAAATCTTTGGAATCGAGGATTTACAGGTTTGTGAGAAGTTAAAATTATATTTTAGAATTCTCTCTTGTTCTTCTGAAAGACTAACATTAGAAATATTAACTATTGGCTTGATGTTTACAATGGGAAGAGTTTTTGAACGACTTGAACTGGAAGACTGTAAAAGGAGTTTTTCGAATTTAACTGCAAGGGTGTTTTTATGACGGTTAACTGCATTCTCCGTTCTAGACCAAGACTTTTGTTCAAGGGCAGTGAATTTTGGATATGATTTAGCGAGTTCCAGATGAAGCTTATAGAGTTCATGTTCAATTTTGGACAATGTTTGACGTGTATCCCTTATGACGGACCGAAAAGGCAAGCTTCCATTTAACAGAATCTTGAAACGCGACTCGAAGGTTTTTGATTAGATTGATTTGAATAAAATTGGGGATCAATTTTTTACATTTACTTTAAGTAAAAAGTTAAGATGATTCAGGAATTTTTGACGTTTCAGGCGTAATTATGAAACGAATAACGGATGAGGGCATGATAAACAATGCAGAAAATCAAACTAATTAACTAAGCAATAATAAAGCACACACAAAACGAAAAATCCTCACTGAAATGAATAGAAAACAAAAACGTTTGTAAGCAAAATGCATAATCATACAAGCAAAGCACAAATCCAAATATACAAAACATAAACATAACTTGAAAATTGCAAAAAAGTACTTACCGAAACTCATGCAATCACAAAATGGCGGCCACACCACGTGCAAAAAAGAAATATTTACACCAACATATGGCGCCACTTGCTTATTCTTGTCCAGGCTTCCTTATCTTATCTCACGGAGTATACTCCGTGTCTTATCTAATCATTTTTTCCTATCTTGTTTCATTTGCGGTTTTGTAGCTGAGGATGGTGGTTCGATAAAACCATCGAAACTAGTCCTGTGGAAATTTTGTAAATATAACGCTGATTTTTGTTGTTTGTCTTCTGAATTAGTATTTATTCGGCGTGTTATTGTGTCTTAATTATAGAAGCCCCAAACAGGGTTACTTTTTGCTTTCTTTTTTGCACGTGGTGTGGCCGCCATTTTGTGATTGCATGAGTTTCGGTAAGTACTTTTTGCAATTTTCAAGTTATGTTATGTTTTGTATATTAGATATTGTGCTTTGCTGGTATGATTCATGAATTTTTGCTTACAAAACGTTTTGGTTTCTATTCATTTCAGTGAGGGATTTTTCTGTTGTTTGTGTGTGCTTTATTATTGCTTAGTTAATTTATTTGATTCTCTGCATTGTTTATCATGCCCTCATCCGTTAATCGTTTCACTAAATTACGCCTGAAACGGAAAAAATTCCTGAATCATCTTGACTTTTTACTTAAATGTAAATGTAAAAAATGATCCCCAATTTTATTCAAATCAAATCTAATCAAAAACCTTGAGTCGCGTTTCAAGAATTCTTAAATTGCAAGCTTGCCTTACTTCGGTCCGTCATAAGGGATACACGTCAACAATTGTCCAAAATTGAACATGAACTCTATAAGCTTCATCTGAAACTCGCTAATCAATATCCAAAATTCACTGCCTGAACAAAAGTCTTGGTCTAGAACGGAGAATGCAGTTAACCGTCATAAAAACACCTTGCAGTTAAATTCGAAAAACTCCTTTTACAGTCTTCCAGTTCAAGTAGTTCAAAAAACTCTTCCCATTGTAAACAACAAGCCAATAGTTAATATATCTAATTTAGTCTTTCAGAAGAACAAGAGAGAATTCTAAATATAATTTTAACTTCTCACAACCTGTAAACCCTCGATTCCAAAGATTTCGGCTCCTATCGAAAAAGCTTTCAAGTTCAGTAAAGTTTCAGATTCACAGAAAGAAATGATTAGGCACCTTATCGCTCATAATGTGAAATTCAATAATAAACCTTTGAAACCAAATCTAACTGCGAGAGAAAGAGCTAAAACGCGCGAAATTCATTCTAACCCGGATATTATCATTTCAAAGGCCGATAAAGGTGGCCAGATAGTCGTCATGGATAAGAACACTTACATCGATGGTGTCACTAAACTCTTAAAAGAAGGACCATATAATCCAATCCCTAAAGATCCTTCACCTTCCGACTTGTCAAAAATAAAAACTGCGATCAAATCTTCGCAAATCATTTCAAGCAACTTAAAACATTCGCTTATCCCATCTGTTGCGAATTGTGCCAGATTATATGCTCTTCCCAAAATTCATAGAAGTGGTATTCCTTTCCGCCCTATTGTATCAAATTTAGGTACTGCCTAGTATCCATTAGCTAAATATTTGGTTTCTAGATTTTCCACTCTCTTAGACAATAACATTTCCACCATAAAAAATTCAATAGAGTTTGTAAAAAAGGTTAAAAACATTTCTCCTAATAATTTACTCATGGTTTCTTTTGATGCAAAATCATTATTCACCAATGTCCCGGTGGAGGGTGCATTAAGATGTCTAGAAACCAGACTTCGCAAATTTCATTTCTCTTGCATCGAAATTGATGAGCTAATTTCTCTCACTCAACTCTGTTTTAAAAAAACACATTTTGTTTTCTAAAATAAATATTACAAGCAAACTGAGGGATTAGCCATGGGAGCCCCTCAGTCCCATCCTGGCTGATATCTACATGCATTATTATGAATCAAAATTGTTTGAAACTTTAAACTTCCCGGCATGGTTCCGCTACATAGACGATACTTTTGCCCTGTTTGAAGGTAATAAAGATGATTTAAATATAAAGTTCTTTCAACAATGAATTCTATTGATCCTGCTATTCAGTTCACTTTTGAACTTGAGACTTGCAATTCTCTTCCGTTTCTCGACATTCTGGTCACACGTAACACATCCAACTTCAGTACTACAGTTTACCATAAACCTTCATCGGTTTGCCTTTCACCATACTTTAAATCATGTCATCCGACTAAACAAAAGTTAGCTTCATTTTATTCCTATGTTTTCCGTGCTCTTCAAGTTTGCTCCTCCAAACTAGCCCTTGATGAAGAACTAAATTATTTAAAAGTTATAGCTATTGACAGGGGCTTTTCCCCCAACATTATTAATCAAGCAGTTAAAAAATTCTCATCTCAACACACTAAAAGGCACACTCTTGTTTTAGGAGATTATAAAAATTTTGTTGTCATTCCCTTCTTTCCATCAATTAGCTATAAAGTTGCACATATTTTGCAGAAATTTAACTTTCGGGTTTGTTTATTCTCCCATCAATAAAATTCCGAGTTCCATACTTAAGGAACCCATTCGGATATGAATTCCTGGGGTATTATAGGATTCCTTGCTAGTGTGGTTTAATTTACATTGGCCAAACTAAGAGAGCCTTAAAATTTCGCGTCAAGGAACATGAGGCATATGTTAGAAAAAGGAAACACAGAAGTCTTCTGTTGCGCAACATGTTGGTCCGAAAATTACACTTTCACTTTTTCTGCTGCCCAAAATTATTCAAAAAACATCTTCCATTGGAGAACTGGATTTTCTAGAGGCATTTGACATCATAAAAATCTTCTGTTCTAGTTAACGATCCTAATTCCAATCAAATTTGCCTTCGGCCTTTAAAGAAATTATGTTTTAGTTCTAGTTTCACCAACAGATGGCGCCACTTGTATTATTGTCCAGGCTTTCTTATCTTATCTAATCATTTTTTCCTATCTTGTTCATTTGCGGTTTTGCAGCTGAGGATGGTGGTTCGGTAAAGCCATCGAAAGTAGTCCCGTGGAAATTTTGTAAATATAACGCTGATTTTTGTTGTTTGTCTTCTGAATTAATGCCTTTAGATCCCTAATTTAGTGGAATAAGAACATGCCGTCAGTTCCCTATCTCATGATACATCGCTAATTCTTTACTTAGATCGTATTTTATTCTCGAGTTTCAAATGTAGAAACAACTTTTTTTATTCGGCTTCTAATAAGCAATCAAGGGAAAAAAAGAAAAAAAGATTAGTGTAGTAGGAAGTGTTTGAGGTTTGAGAAAAGATTCTGATCCGCGCTAGCGGCGGCGAAAGGGGGGGTGAGGTCAGTGACGTTACAAGATGAAACAGAGGGTGAAACCGCAAAAAGTAAATTAAGTGTGAATGAGTCAATTTTAGTTCTATTTGTTATATCTAATTCAGCATAACGACGCCATCCAATAACGCCAACGAAGCTCATTATTGTGCATGCGTGAAGCATAAACCAGGCTAGGGTAGACCCAACTATTTTAGTATGCGATAAGCCGCTGATCATGGTAACCCAGCTCTAAACATATCGCTTAACGTTTCTCTACTTTTTGTGGCAGAACGTTGCGCAATGTTGTGAGTGAGATGTAAATTTATTTATTTATAAACAGTAACTCGAGCATTAACGTTATGCAACAGTGAAGTAATATTACGAGAGACTGCGTGTGGGCTTAGAAATTATCTACTGTAAATTTAAGTTCGAATTTTCCTAATGAGTTGGTTTAGTTATCAAGTTTAAATATGACGAGATCTTCAAAAGACAATTCAGTAATCAACACTACTTTTGCTGTAATTGGAGGAGGTATTGCTGGCGTTTCTTGTGCTGAGCAGGTAAAAAATAATACGATATATAATATGAATATATATATCACCAAATCCTGTGTGTACCATATATTAGGCTTAAAACTAAAATTTAAATTGTTTAACTTATTCAACATATAAATTTTTCATTAAAGTTATGACCATCTGCATTGTACTAAATCTGTTATTTTATTGTGATATATATATTTTATTCATTGTAGGCTGTGTATATGTTAATTGCCAACTAGTACAGTTACTCTAAAAAATATTTGGCCTCCGTTCTATTATTCAAACAATGCGTCATTAAAAGCATTAAACAATGAACTAAAGATTTAATTTATATAATGTAAAATTACAAAACAAAGGCATGCCTCAGACACATTTGTAAAGAAATTAAATAAATTTAACCAAAAAAAAAAAAAAAAAAAAAAAAAAAACGCAGAAACATATTAGAATGCAGAGCATGGGTCAAAAAAGTATAATTAATATTTTGCAGAATGTCTGTTAAATTTTATAATGGCTTTCAGTCTAGATTGCATGCTTATTAATTTTTTAGCTTAATCACTTTGTATTTGATACCATTCTTCTAAATATTGTTTTAGCTTCTTCCTGTGTGTAGTTTCTTTATGTAATTTTTCCCATAAATGCTGAATTGGATTTATGTCTGTTTATTTTAGAGGTGTTTTAAGTACTTTTGATGTGTTGTACAACAACCGAAATGTGGTATTTAGCGAATGTTAATATACAACTCTTGGTTTATTATGTCATCAATAAAATATAGTTTCCTTACACTTGCCTAAGATGTGCACCCCCAGATCACAACGGAGTGGCCACCATGCTTTACTGTCGGTCGGAAATTTCTGAATTCAAATTATTTATTTGGTTGTTTCCATACCGTATGATTAATTACCATGTGCTCCAAGTAAGTTACACTCATTTCTGCGAAATATATTTCAGCACTAAATATAACTTTTTTCCCAAAAGTCTAGAGTCTCATTTACATATTTTTTTTTTTTTTTTAAAGTAAGAGCCTTTTCTTTCTGTTAGCTTCCGATACCTAAAATTTTTTGTGAGCGCATTGTCCTTTATAATCAAACTCTGTGCATTTGGATTGAAAACTGACACAAACTTCTTTCTTAATTAGTAGTTTAAAATTCTGGGCCACTTAATGTTTAATCATTTTAATTTATTATAAAAGGGATATTGCTTATCATACCTGGTCAACTTTTTTTGGTCTCCTGCTTCTTGTCCTATTTACTAATTTGTTGATTCCAGATGTCATTTTACTTTGTATTTTGCAGTTTAAAGTGGTATTTTAATAGTCTGAGCAATTTTCTCTTGTCTCCAGATTTTCTCACATTAAGTACAATTTTCCTTTCTTCCATTGTAGTTTCTTTTGCTTTCCGAGATATTTTAAAATTTCCCTTTTAAAATTGCAGAAATGAGTATGATTCAAGAACAAAAGTTTCAAATAACCTTAAGTAGCCTTCGTGTATCATTTAAGGATGCTTTCAAGTGTTAATTTAACACTTTGTAACCCTTCAAATGACCAATGAATGGCTAGAGTTGAATACTTTTTGGGCAATAAAAATAGGTCATTTACCAGAAAATCACTTTTCCAGTCAAATTTGTTTTTTCCAATATGATTTTTCATTTAATAACTAGTTATAGACCTTGATAAAGACTACACTAAAAGAATGTTAACAACAAATAATCAGCTACATATGTTTGTAAAATGACATAAATATGCTTTTATGCCATTTTAAAGACATTAATTAGTAAAGTCTAATATATTTTTGACAAACTGTAGCTTAATAAGAAGGCTGGGTGAAATTGGATTGTACATATTTCGAATCCCTCAGAACAACCTGGCTGCCCGAGTTTTGTATAGAAAACTTCAGTGAGTGGTTGCCTTCAGTTAGCCATTTAACTTTTGCATCAATGGCATATCCAGGGTTAAATTTCTAAAATTAGAAGTGCTAGAGCACTGTAGAAATAAAATAGTGAAATAATTAATAGTTAAAATAGCAAACTATGTAACAGTTAAAATAATAAACTGTGACAGTTAAAATAGTCAGTTAATTAAAAGAGTAAGCTATGTAACAGTTGAAATAGCTAATTAATTAAAATAGTAAACTATGTAACAGTTAATTAACATTCATTTGAATGTAAAGAGGTAAATAAGAGTTTAATAAATTATCAAATTAATGGAAATTGATAAATAATAAAATAAAATGCTGGACTTCATCTTATTTGGTGCTCTACTTAGTATTACAATTTCACTCAAAAACTAAGAAATATCTCAACCTGGCTGTGGCTGAATTTCAGCCCTAAATTTATAGTGCGATGTATTTAACGGGATGATACAGCAGAGGTAGTTTTTTTAATTTTTTTCAGCACGTCAATGTAAAATGGTTAAAATTTACTCTACAGTACCCCTTGGCGAAATGTCTCTTTTTTGACGCCAAGATCAGTGGCAGAAAGGATCGGCATCAATTTCAAGATTGTGCTGATCCTTCCTTCCACTGCACACACCGAAAACAAGAAGTCGAAGACTTATACAAACTCAGTGTCCACGTACACATCGCCCTCTTTTAACTTCAAAAAACATCAGAGAATTCCACAAACTAGGCATTGTGCACTGCGTTAACTTTGTCCATGTACACATAGTAAAACTTTTTTTTTTTTAAAAAATCAGTAATATAAAAGTAACAGAAAAGTTACCTCACAAAAGTCTTCGGTACAACTCTGGTATACGCCCTAATTTCACCAAATGTGGCGATATGTGTTCTGCGCTGGTTTTTGGTGCGATTGCGTGTTGTATGGCAACTCTGTTGATGTTGAAAAATCTTTCGCTGGAGCTCGTTGGTTCGCGAAGATATGGGCGAAAGATAAAATGGTGGAAGTTGTTGAATTGAAGTTCGGCAAAAGGAAATATCATCCTGGCCATCCTGTTGAGGGGCAGTGGGTATTTGGAGGTGTGGAAAGAGGGTGTGGGAGATTATTTTTAATGGCTGTGCATGATAGAAGTAGGGATTTGTGATTATTTGTGAACCACAGTATGAATTTTGTGGATAATATGCCTGGCTGTCATATAAATGTGATAGCGATTACGTGTCGGCATGTTAAAGGCGGTATGAAATCGGTATTTCTACTGTTCGAAAAAGCATTAATTCATGGTAAGTGCATTTTATTTTATTCTTGTTCTTTTTTTGTAGAATGTTATGTTCATTGTTTTTTTAGTATGAATTTCTGTCGTTATTGTTGTTTTCTGGAATTGTTTGAAATTTATTTTAGTTTATTTTGTTGATTAGTGTGTAGCGTCTAGATTGTGCAATTCGTAGATTTTTTTTAAAGTTGAAATAGAACTCTGTGTACATGGTATTCTTTGAAATTTATTGTTGTTATGTTAATTTATTAAAGTGAGGTGTGAATAGTTCGTAGATTCATTCGTTGCCTAGATTGTGCCATTCGTAGATTTTTTTTTTTTTTTTAAGTTAAAACATATCGCTGTGTACATGGATTCATGTCAAATATTTTTGGTTAGAAACTTTACGTTTTTGCTATCTAAACTTTTTGTTTCGAATTTTTAGCTTAAATTGTATGTTCAAAACGCGTTTTTGGAGACATTTTAGACTTAAAGTTCGAAATGTAGACAAAAAATTTAAATAGTAATATGGCAGCGTGGGTTTGGCGAGAAATTTGGGGACTTGAGGGCACATATCAGAGTAGTTCCAAGTCTTCTTGCGCTTTCAAGAAATCTGCACATATTAGTAAATGTTGTAGTATATCTTTAAGTTAATTGCCTTTAAGTCTTTAATCCGGACTTGTCGGGACTTAGGCGATTTCGGATTATAGATCATCAATTTAAATCTGCTAAGATGGCATGCAGAAATTATAAAATTAAAAATATGAAACTGTAATTTATGAAATAAAGAGCAATTATGATCTAAAGGGTATCAAAATTTACAAAAAAAAAAGCTTAATATTTATTTGTTTACTTTATTAAACATTTCTTTCAACGCATGCACGCGTAAAGCATACATTACGTATAGTCGAAATTAGAAAATTGCAACCAGAAAACTATTTCATGTGTATTCGTGATATTTATAATGATGAGGAATTTGATTTAAATCATATCAGAGACAGAGTACATCGAGATGAAATACTACGTTTAGTAAGGAATTATCAGCCGAATAAAATAAAAACATCTGCCCTGAAGATAAGGATAGTGCTGACAGATCATATGAAATTAATGATCGAAAACTGACATAACATCGATCGGGATAGGACACTCCAGTCCAGGGGCGCCTGTTGCAACGAACGTCTCCTTCAAGGATGGAACTTCCAGTTCATTGGCTGCCGCGACGTTTTCCCCCCTCAGAGCAGCGTGAAATTGATAAACAGATTTCGGAATGGTTAGAGAAACAAAGGATATGCCTTTATCCATTTTTTGAAGCAATTCCACTTTTTGTTTGATGGACATCGAAACATGCTTTCGCTTTGTAGATCCTTTGGCAGCTCCAGAATCGGAAATCCTTTTTGACATAATTGAAAGTTCAAGCTTACTTTTATAAAATTGCTCTAACAGTCTGCAAAAAATAATAAGCCGGATTCAATTCGAATATTAAGGAACAACGCAATCTGCAACATTTACTGAAATAGATACTTAGGTAATTTTAGCTTAGCTTATACCGTCCGTTATACTTTAAATGCGCATGCGTAAACGTATTATGCGCATGCGCAGAAAGTTTGATTGAAGAAAGTTTGATTTGAGGTCCGGATTATAGATCATTCCGGATTATGGATGTCCGGATTAAAGACTTTTGATTGTATTTTGTAGGATATCTTACAGCATTTACGACAGCTTTCAAATGTCTGGGCATAGAGTTTACCAGTTTTTTTTTTTTTTTTTAAAATATCTGTGTCAGTGTTTCTCCATCATTCTTGTTTTTAGTTTGGTCTAACTTTTACTACTGTGTCTTCATACTTTGACCTCTAATTCTCTTCAGATGTGTCCTGTCGGGTTTAAGTGTGGTGACTGAGTGGTGCTTTCAGAATTCGTTGATAATTATAGACACACTAAAGGCTGTCATTATCCTGATAAAAAAAAAAAAAAGTTGTTTCCAATACCCAAATTTTGGGCAAATAATTTTAAATTATCTTTTAAAATATTGAAATATAGAGCATAGTTAGTTCATCATGCCATCAATAAATACTAAATTACCTAATCATGTTGCTGACATGCACTGCACACAATGACACCTCCACCACCATGCTTTACTGTTCCAATCAAGGTCTTATGATTAAGTCCTGCATTATAGATCCGTATTATAGATCATTCCGGATAATGGACGTCTGGATTACGGTCTTTGTACTGTATATACTTACAGACTGTTGACTTTCAGCTGGAACTATAAATTATTACTGTCCAAACTTATAATATAGTTTATGATACAAAAAGATAAATTATACTGAAATCTTATTTAAAAAAATATTTTACTTTCTTATATTTAAGTAAACATAATTTTACTTAATTTAAAGACAGAAATAGTTTTTGGAAAAATTTCATTTACCTTAGACCTTTCGGTGTTACCAATAGTACTTGCATTCTGGAAATGTACAATAGTAAAGAATTTTTTATTTTTAAAAAGATCTTTCACTGATTGTAAATGCCCATTTTATTCAGTTACTTGCATATTAAAGTGCTTATAAACTCAGCAATGTCCAGAAAATAATTTCATGCAAACTTGGAAGATAAAGCACTAAGCTTTATAAAAGTAATCCGATTTTTAAAATAATGCTGTTTAAATGTATGTTTATGTTCAATATTGCAGGAATCGAGATTTTCAGCTTTTTTTTTAACAAAGTAAACATATTGCACAATCTTTTCTCAATAATTTAATAATAATAATAGCATTTTTCTTTTTTTATTGCAGGTAGTACTTGTTCACGAAATCAAAACGCGTACGACTTGGCAAAAAAAGGTTTGCGCCAATTGGCGCAGCTTTCTATTTCAACGGAGTACACGGAAAAAGAATATAAAATTAAATTATTTGTAAAGGGTGATTCCAGTAAATAGTGTCACAGTATTTAATACATTTTGATGCTAATAATACATGCTGAAAATGATGCCTGAAAATGATACACGAGCCTTGTGTCCTAAAGGAACTTAAGCGCCCATTTTGTTTTCGAGAGCTACTTTGAGAAATCGTAGCTCATGTTGGGGCTCAACCCAGATGTTAGCAGTGGGACCCTAGCTAGCTCTTGATTATTTGATTGACACAACCCATCATTTCCTGGAGTATGTGTTTAACAAATATGAATAGTAAATTGTTTACCCACACTTAACCATCTTGCAGGATTCATTCTTTTTTCTTGGATGGACCATTTCGTGACTCCTTTACTAAAAGCGCATTTATTCTTTGGCATATTAATTGCTGTGATTTCATTTTCTTCCACTCACATATAGAGCTTTCACCAACACCAGACATCCTTGCGATTTCCATTTTCTTTCACAAATATAACGACTTTGCATATGAAAACCGCACTTTTATTATTTCATTAGCTTGACTGTTTGGTACATGTTCATCCTCTGTTTAGTGAATAAGAGAGATAAGCATTAACAAAATAGGTGTAAGCAATATCTTCCAATAAGAGAATGGAGAATAAATTAACCAAAAACGTCTCTTTTGATAAAAAAATTTGCAAAATAATGCCACCTTTAGTTTTATCAATTTTTGATGTAAAAAGGTTTTGGTGGTAACATATGGCCCTTTGCACCTGTGCTGTTTACATCACTGCTTTCCAATAATTGATAACATACTTTTATATACTACTGAAGTAAAATTTTCATGTTTAATGGATTATCAAGTGTTTTTTCTATTGGAAAATTTTTTTAGTGGTAAATTGTATCAAATTGTTATCAGATTGAAATTAAATTGCCGTATGTTTCGGTGTATAATGTGTACTTAAATGCAAAAAATAAGATCGAAATTTATGGATGTGCATTACACTATGGACATACGCCGGATGTAAAAATAATAGATTTTAAAATGAGGAAAAGATGAGTGTACAAAAATTAGATTTCTACACGTACCCAAATGTTGCTTATTTAAAAGGACATACCTTATGAACTTTAAAAATTTCCTTTTCTGATAACATGAAAAGTTTGTCATATTCATCTTCCATTATATATTCAGGCATATTATTGCATCTTCACCATCACTGCTACTCTGATCCATAGATAAATAATCATGTTCCTTTCTATCTAGATTGTTAAATATGCTGCATTTTGTAAATTGTCCTTTGAATTATGTGGGATTTAATTTCATTTCATGCTTTTATTATCCATTCATAGATTATTTCCAGACTTGCATGATGCATTTGGCCTCCTTTTTTAAATGTTTTTCACCTTCTAACATCCACATATTCCACTATCATTTAAAATTTTCTTTGAATGGTTTATTGATACACATATCTAAAGGCTGAACTATTCACGTTTATCCGCCTGGAATAACTACCATGACTGTATTGCACTCTTTCAACAGTTTCATCATCATATTATTGTTATTAGATTGCATCTGAGCAAGTCTCAAACTAAAACTGGATTCTTTAATGCAGTAGTTTTGCCAAACATTTCGTATCCAAATTTCACACTGTTTTTGTGCATTGATTCTTTTTTGTGAACAGAATGAAAACACCATTTGGGAAGTTACTTTTTGGCATTATCTTTCCTTAAAAATTATCATGGGTTTTAATTTTAATGTTAATACTAGGCAGGAGAGCACTATGGCGAGATAAGATTTTGCATGACCGTTTTTGTTCCTTTCACATAAATTTATTTCCTGTCATATCAAATATTACTGGAGTTTCTTGCGAAACTTTCATTTTTTCTCGTAGAACTAAATTATCCCATGCTCTAAATCGACTACACCAACTCAAAATTGCTTTAAAGTTTTCACTTTGCATTCTTTTTTGCCCACTTTAAGACAAATGATGTTTCTTGTTACAATTAATTCATTCTGGTGGTTTTTAAGGACCCAGTTTATAACACTTTTTTCTTGGATGGACCATTTCGTGACTCCTTTACTAAAAGCGCATTTATTCTTTGGCATATTAATTGCTGTGATTTCATTTTCTTCCACTCACATATAGAGCTTTCACCAACACCAGACATCCTTGCGATTTCCATTTTCTTTCACAAATATAACGACTTTGCATATGAAAACCACACTTTTGTCAGGAGCTATCTTTACTACTAAAAGAACACTAGATTAACTGTATTTCAACTAAAGCAAATGCAATTTATTTTTATTTTTTTTTAAATTTAAAAATGTGGTTTTAAATTATAGATGCACATTATACACTGGAATATGTGATAGTTTTTTTTTATTCTATTGTAATGTTCATTTATTATATATAATATTCTGTAATATTTAGTATATCTTCATATCTTGTGGGCTATCATTATTATTATGATTATTTTAATAATGCAAAGTTGTGACTTTTTAAATTTTCGGTACTTTTCCATTTCACCGGCGCAAATCTCGCCAAGCAGACTTTGTTGGCGACAACATACAGTATACACATAAAAAATGTTAATTCTAAGAATTTTTTTTTTTATTTTGAAGGCATAAACATTTTAATATGGTTTAAAATTTTGTAAAAAGCCAATAAATAAAGACAATAAATTTGTAAAAAGACATTAATTTAAGAATTTACTATGATTTCATGGTTCAAAATCCTGATTCGCCGGTTCGTATCACGTGACCCCAAGTAATCTCATCTCACGTAAAACTACGCTACTAAAATCTAATTTGCTCAGTAATTATCTACATTAATTTCAAGTTAAATCTTAATTTGGAATACAAGTTTAAAATACAAGAATTATTTCAATTCGTACGAATAGCTTACTCAGAAATTATGTAAAACCGCAGTGCTTTACTTTCGCTAGTGCATTCTCATTAGAACTGATGAATTTAACACTTGATTTCGCCTTCGGGATGAGCTGTGCGTAATTGCATTCTAATTGACTTAATTACCGTGAATTGTCTTAGGGGATAAAATTTAAAATATCTTGTAAAAATTCTATATGTAATTGTATGCCAGTATTGAAAGAAACAATCTGATAAGAAATGGCTATCAACTTGTTTTGAAACTGAGGCGTAAAAGGTTACCAGCAAAGATATTCCGTTCTGGCATCAGTTAAACCATTATTGGCGACTTTATCGTTTGCGCCGGACAAAACGGAAAAGTACCAAATTTTCTTGTATAACTATTATTAAATCTTCATGTAAAGTAACAATAGTATGTAGTATATAATATTATATTTGATTTTAATTTATTTTATAGTTGGCTATTGAGGAACCATCTGCTAATATAGTTTTGATTTCTGCATCTCCACTTGTAAAAGCAGTTAAAAATGTAAATAAGGTATGTTTTAGATATTAAATAATTTTTTTTATATGTTGTCAACTTTTTCCCTTTGCTAGAAGGCTATATAAATGTATATTAAAATATAAAGCAATACATGTTTTTTTTTTGTGTTAAAAATCTCTTAACTGTATTTTTTAACATTTCAGTAGAACTTATGTTATTTAATTTGAGATCTTAACTTGCAGTTAATTTATTATTATTATTTGATCATCTGGAAAGTTCTGCAGGTTTTTGGTGACAGATACAATTGAAGCAGTGTAAAGACGTTAGAAGATTGAATCACACAACTGTTAATTTGTTCTATGATGTTTTGCCATCCCTCCGACAGGTGGAAAATCATCAGATTTATTCATGAAGAAATTATAGAGGTGCTGTTTGACAGTCTATTAAAAAAGGGGCTGGGAGAGGTGAACTCAGTGTTCAAAGAATTTTGAAGTGAACTGACGAGATGAAAATCTGAGGAGCTGGGGTCTGGTAAATGTGGGGAGTGACACAAAACATCCCAGCCATACTGAAAAGTCTTCATCTGACATTTGTTAGAATGTAGAGTCAAGCATTGTAATGATGGAAGACAATATCTCAGCAGTTGGGCAGTTCTGGGCGATTTGCTATTAAATCTACTACTTGAGAAAAGTATTTTTTCTCAATTTATTATCTTATTTGGCAGCAGCAATTCACAATACACAGTTTCTTGGTTGTCCCACCATGCACAAAGCATTGCTTTTTTGGAATGCACCTCCCCCTCTCAGTGTTATTAAATCATTTGGAATTTGAATGTTTCTAATGTAATATTTTTCCAGTGAATTTTTTTGTAGCATTACTGTATAGTGTTCATTTCTAATCTCCAGAAAGGCGGGTTCAAAATGGGAGCTTCTTTGTTTCATTTCAGCCAAGAAACACTTGCTGAAATTTCAACAAGGATATTCTGCCGTCTTTAAGTATGGGGTACCATGCATCATAGCAGCTTACATGCCTAGTCTTCTTGAAATTATTATGTGCTATATTTTAGGAAATATTTAGTCTGTCTTATAATTCATGAACTGTATAATGTTGATTTTCAGCAGCACCTTCTTTTAATACATCATTGTTTACAGAGGATGGTTCATCCAGAGCTGACACGATTTTGAGGCTGAAATTTACTCCCATAAACCTCTCAAACTAGCTGTGAACTGTGTCATCAGAAACAGTGCTTTGTCCATATACAGCACAGATTTTACGAGCAGTCTGACTAACATTTTTTCTTTCTTTTTTCTTCTTTTTTTTAAAATGAGCATGTGATGAAAATGGGTTCTCCATTCTCAGCAGTACACTGTATATATATATATATATATATATAAATTATTTCCTAAACCATATTGATTAATTGATTATATTATCTCCTAAGTTTAATTAAAGTAGAATTATTTTAAAAGTGTGCATCCATACTGGTAAGTTATATTTTGAAAGATGTTTTGAAGTAATTTGAAAGCAAAATGTTAATAATGTTTTAACGGGGACTGGAGTTAAATCATCACGAAGAATAATATTACAATTGTAAAAGTAAAAATTAAAACATGTAATTATTGTCATTGATTGGAAATTAGTTGACTTTTCAAGGGGAACAAACCAACTCCCGTTCAATGATCAATAATTGATAGAAATACGTAAATATGAAAGTGTTTCGTCTTTACTCGAGTTATAAATTAAAGCCAAACCAGCAATTCTAGTCAGGCCAAATATTTCCGCGAATAGTTGTTACTCAAAGAACTGATTCTCATGAAGCATTTTAGTCAATTCAATTTGGAGTAAAAATCAATTACTGTAGAGAAATCTTGTAAAACTCGAGTAATCGTCCTCGACACTATCATCTTTATGTATTTGAGTACTATATTATTTGTAGAAATTAAACATTGGAAATTGTCATTATGAAATCGAAATCAAAGTAAAGTTGAAATAAACATAGAAGATTATAAAAAAGATAAATAATGCAAACTTTGTAAAAACAAATCAAAGAGAACATAAAAATAATATAAAAATAATATAAAAAAAAATAGAAAATAATATAATAAGAATCAGTGAATGTACATGAAGATATAAAGGCCAGAAAAGGTAACTTACATACATAAGGTAAGTAACTTACATTCTTTCTAGTGGGAGGAGTTGGCAAAGTGTGTTCTCTTCGTGTCTGATTCAGAAGTGTAGGGTGTTCCGAAAAATTCTTAGCGGCAGTAGGGGCTTTGAATTATATCAGTCGAGTAAGACTTGGGTGAAGTAATTTATGGTAGTGGGTGGGACTTGGAATTCTTGAGGGATGTATTATGTGGAGTTCTTATTCTGAGAGAAGACCGTTGTCTGTTAAGATTTTTTTTTAAAAATACTAGTGAATGGAAATTAATTAATTTCTGGCTAATTGTCGTGTCGCAATGATTAAGAATTTAAGAAAGGAAAAAAAAAGCATTTTCGCTATCCAAGAGCTAGTAGACAGTCTAAAGGCAGTAAATAGGCCCATTTTTTTAGTAACAGTATAGTAACAGTATATGTCTGAAGACAATTAGCGTTTTTACAATATATACAATTGAGTAACTACACTATATACAAATCTTTCAACTGACAGTCATCCAACTTATACCGCCTTCTCAGGTTTAGGAATAAAATTATCATATCCCTATCAGTTAAATGATTTAGAGTGAGTATTTACGCCTGCTCTTTTAAGGCAATGGTTGATAAATTGAAGGGAATTAGATTATTTTGAGAATTTTGATAAGGATCAAAATTTCGCGTTGTAAATCTATTGTATCTGTGCATATAGTTTTAAATTCGTTGTATTTGTTTTAATTATAGTATTGTTAATTTTTTTTTGGATATGTTGGAGTTCCAATTTATTAATTTGTTAGTATTGAAATTGAAGTTTCTTGTTTGTCAAAAAGTAAAATTTTTTTGTAGTTAATGATTTGAAGATCTAGAAAGTCTATGCTATTTTGTGAATTATTAGTTTTATTAAGTTAAGACAATTCGGATAAATGTCGGAGTTTTCAATTTTACCAAAATTATTAATTGTAATAAGGTCATCAATAAATCTGTAGTGTGTGTTTGTAGTAATTTAACTCTGTGGTTGTAGATTTTTTTGGAAGTTAAATTCTTTGACAAATAAAAAGATATTACAGATCGAGGTGCTGGAATGTAAGCCCATTGGCAATCCTCTGACTTGTTTAAAAAGTTGATTTTGAAACTTGATGTAGTTATGAAAAAGTGTGCATTTTAGGTAGGTTTTTCCATTTGTCAAGAGTCATGATATTGAGTATATAGGGAAAGTTTTGGTAGATCAAGTAGACTGGTATAGATTTCTTCTAGAGGAAGTGAGGTATATAAGTTTTCAAAATCATAGCAGTTAATGTTTTGGATGTTAATGGTATGAATGTATTAATGACAGGAGTGTTATTATGAATGATCCAGCAATAGTTATGATTAGTGTTACAATCATTGAAAATAATTTACAGATTTTATTAAGTTGAATTGAAAAATAATAGTCTATATTTTTCTTGTAATTATTAGTTCCATTAGCTATAAATCTAAATTTTAATGGTGTTTTATGGAATTTGGGAATCGCATAAAGATTAGTAAATCTGTTGTAGTTTGCATTGAAAGTAATATTGAGTTTCTTATGAAAAGTTTTAATCCTGTTTATTATAGATGTTTCTGTAAGGTTGCTGATTGATAAAGTAGTTGCGTTGAGAAGTTCTTTATGAATAATCTCAGCGTAGAATTGTTTTCATATAATGCTAAAGTTATTAGTTGCTTTATCTATTTTTGTAATAGTAAAAAGCTGTTTTAATTTACTAATATCAGATGTAAAGTTGCGACCAATTCAGTGTACTTTTTAAATTTGAGGTGACTGATTTCTGTGGATATGCGTTGAAGAATTTTAGCTTTCCATTTTAGAAGGTATCTATGGGAAAATTCAGTTGATAGCTTGCTTTAACTATAAATTCGTTGATGTTTATATATATATATATATATATATGTGTGGGGGGGGAGTTGAAGATGATATCCTTAAGTAAATAACACTTCCACACCACAAAACATTTAATGAATAATATAAGAAAAGCTACAGATTTGAATTTGAAAAACAGTACCATTGCACGTTCTCGCGCTTGTTAGATACAAATACAGTTCTGCATGACTTTTAAGTATTTAAATAGCTACTCAGCACCTACTCTTGTTTGCTATTTTAGCAGAGTTCTTTTGTTACCACCTTCGCGTGGAACCAATATCTATATGTCATCGTTGTCTTTCGCCTGCTCTCGCTGTCGGCGCATAGGTGATGCCCTCTGGTGACTGTGTTGAACTAATGGATAACACAGCTCGGCGATCCTGACTCTGTTTTCGCCTTAAAAAATATGGATCAGCACACTGGTATATCAAAACAGCACCTGAAAATAAATTTTTGGGGAAAAAAAAAAAAAAAAAAAAAAAAATAGCAAGTGTGGAAAAAGAGCCATACACAGTCCTAAGCAGGAACAGTCCAAGGTTTCATGTGATCATCTGCTGTAGTGGTACAGCCAGGACCTTCATGGTGTCCTACATTTTCCACCTGGTACCGATCGTTGAGATGAATTCCTTTCACATGTCCTTCTCCTCTAGGAACACCTGTAATTGTAAATATGTGCTGGATCTTCTCTTGACTACAGTAATCTTCAAAATCGTTAGAGCAAAAGCCGTACTTTTATCGCTTATTATTCTCAACAGATTACCGAAAGTTGATTGCTGCAGTTTCAACTTCTGCAATGCCTCTTGAGCTGATGTAGACTTTACTGGATAGAGTCACATGAACTTTGTAAATGCGTCAACCACGGTCAAGATATGATTGTAGTTCTTATTTGTCGAAGCTAGAGGTCCTGTAAAATTCAATATGGAAAGTGCTCAAAGAGATACTATCTTTTGGTATAGGAGTCAGCAACCCTTCGCCCTTAACTCGTTTTTTGTCGCACAAAATACACTCTACATAATTTGAGATAACT